TCAAAATAGTGATGTCAACACTAGGTATGGCGGGAAAATGTTAAGATCCTCAGAGCAAAAGTCCACGTCACCCAGTGAGAACATCGAAATACGTGTCAAAGTTGATAGTGAACCTTGCTCTACCAAATAGTGATAAATTGTTTGTGTAGAAAGAATATTATGGTTTGAGACTCTTTATATAAGTCTGTGAATATATTAGGAATTTTTTAAGTATACTTGCATTTGCTGATTTTAAGTGGTAAATAAATTAATAGATGATTAAGTTAAGAGATGGTTTTACACATAAAAACCAATTCCGACACAGCTCAGAATTAGACACACACAGTTTGTTCCAAGGATACAAGCTGTGTCATATTCCGATACAGCTCAAACACGGCGTCGGAATTCTAACACAGGGCGTCGGAATTATGAATTATGGTTTTGAAGCGGTCAGAAATAGTCTCAAAATATGCTAAATTTAGTCACACACAGTGTCGGAATTCAGCAATTTTGTAGATTTGAATTCTAAAGGCTTTTAAATGAATATGCCAACAGTTTGTGACATTTCACCATTGCTGGCACAGTGGTGCATAGCAGTGTGGAATTCTGTATAGGTAATATATTTTCATGTCAATATAAGAAAACGTATCAAAATACCAACCCTACCACCGCGTTACACCACCTTCCACTGCAATGAAAATTGATGAACTGAGCACATTTGAAACGGCTGTACTTCCTAAATAAGTTAGTAGGTACCTATTTAATTCAGTTGCAAGCTGGCCCACGTGATATATAGTTCTGTTTGTCTGAACTCTGAATTGCGTGTTTAGTGTGCATGATGTTTAGTGTGCGTGTGTGTGAAACTCTGCTTTGCAGCGTAGTTATAATTACTTAATGAAGTTTAGTTCATTGCGGTAGACAAATTTTCAACTAACTAATACTTTTTATAAGTCTAATTTTAATTGTTGAGTGATAGATGCAGGTTTACAACTTCCAAGTGATTAGGTACTTTATAGAAACTGAGCAAGTTAGCATGCGTGTTTTAAGCCTTTAAGAAGTTCATTTTTTGCCTCAAATAACAATGTTGGATAGAAGAAGTGGTCTTGGACTCTTGGTGGATTGAAATAATATATGAACCTCCGAAATTAGAATTCCATCCTGGACTGCAGAGTGTGGTGTTTTGAGAGTGATGTAAAGTAATCAGAACTCAAGTTGCGCATACGGTGATGATTGGCGGTGATCTTTTTATAGCCATTCATTTCTTGCTAGGTACATCCCTAAAGTGTCGGAATATGGTGTGTTTACCCTAAGTTCCTAACCAATAACCATAGCTCTAGACAGAACTTTTAGAAGCCACCCATGAATTGGACAAAATGCCTATGAATCTAACCAATTTCAGCCATTCCTATAGCATTTGTTCAATTTCTTTAGTAAAAAATTGAAAATGCATTTTTACCCATGATTCTGAAAAATCACCTGTTAAGTGATTGTTTTTACCTGCAATTCTAGATAACTTCTTCCCAATATTCCAAATTAGGGCTACCGGTACCTACAAAAAGTTCATAAAATTTAGGTAGGTACTTATAACTTTGGCAGACATTGATTACAATTTATATATATGAGTTTTGACTTTTGAGTTATGACTAATGAGACATACAAAATATACAAAAGGAACAAGACTATTCTCCAGACTATCATTAATAGCATAATTCATTAACATCATTCCTACTGCTTTTACTGGATAGTACCTAGTGGTAGTAACACCAAACACAGTACAATCAAAATAATTCATTTGGACGGTTCACGGTTGGCCCTACTCTTAGAGCTTTTCAGAGCATGAGTATACACTTTGACTATGACTAAATTGACTAGGCTAGGTATGTAATGTAGAATTGTACCTAGCTGCTAAGCTGCCCAATAATGATGTGATGACTGCTGAGACAGAGCGCGAAATGCGAATGGTGAATAACTTAACTTACTTAGCTAGCCTGTCTGCCTATATATTATAAATAAGTGATAATTTTTTGCTAATTTATTAAAAGATTCAAACCTAGAATGTTATGAGCACTTATTCATGGACAGATTCGTACACGCTTCAACTGATTACCTTAATTACCTTAACCTTGTGTTTGTGTGAGAGTTCGAGTGTTCGACGAAATTCCAAGGCCGTCGAGAGTATTGAGCATTCCATGCATTGAAAGCAAGTACCTAAATAGTCCGCACTTACAGAATTTCAAATACATTATATTCATAGCGATTTCAAGTTTGTTAATTCTAAAGTGACCCTTAGTCGATGAAAGCCGATAATTATTCAATAACGAGAAGAAAGAATGATCAGGGAATACCGAAGGACACGATACTAAAGGTGCCTGTACACAGGGATAGTACTAGCCGCTAGTTCATCCGCCGCTTGAACTATCCACGCTACTATCCTCGTGTATAGGGGGGTTCAGTCGCTTCAGAGGCATGCGCCGGCAAGTGCCCGAGACGCGACTGAGAGGGACAACGATGTGTTGATTTCTGCGCTGGAGAAGTAACTAGTCTGCTAGTAGCTGCGGCACCTCTCTCCTCGTGTTACTTGCCGGATAGTCACCAAGCGACCGACAGGTCCGACACTAGCCAGATTTACTAGCCGTCTGCACTATCTCCGTGTGCAAGCACTACTAAGTCTCATGTCTCTTGGTAAACTTGGCTAGCATATGGGGCAATCCATAGCTATCATATGTAATTATTACAATAAAGCTAACTTAAAACCACTATCTTAGTTGGTGACAAGTTTTACGTATGGTATATATTCGATCACCAGGACAAAGGACATTTTCTTTTAATATAACTAATACAATTCATTCGCAATGATAAAAAAACATGTACACTCACGTTTCAACAGGATCCCTCAAAGGTCAAAAGCTACATTTATGACTTTCGTTATTCATTCCTGTGTAGCTATTGTAGCAGTGTTGATCGAACGCCACCCTTGTTTATCCCAGATACCAGCATCAAGTCATTTTTCCGTCTAGCGCGCCGCTCCCCATAACCCACAAGATTGTGCTCCTAACCAGATCCTTTTTATTTGCGACGTCCCTTGTTCATTGGATACAGACAAGGGAGTACATGTTTGGGCCTGCACGATTGAACTGCAGACTCGGGTAAGATAGAAAAAACTAGAGTAGAAACGACGATAAAAAAGCATGAAAGAAAAAAAATTACGAAGTGAAGAATGGATGAAAGAACGGCGCTCGAATGACGAAACAGGGGACTGATTCTCAAACATTACGACTATCGTAAATACTCGATCGTTGACGTATGTAAAGGAAGTTTACGAATTTACGATTAACTGGTTTTGCTTTAATTTGCGATGGTGCTCTTAATTTTACAATAACATGATTGCCATAAAGAATCCATTGGCCCAGAGGCCACTTTCACTTTCTATATCGGACCCGACTCCATCAGCAATTCAGCATGGATGCAGAAAAGAGGTTTCCAGCAGATATTTACAGTGAGTACGTTTTTGTTTGAGCTAATTGTTACGGGTATGGAGGGCAAAAGTTTGATAGGATGTTTTCTGAAGTGGCGACTTCGTCAGAAGCCTCAGCGCAGGTCTCGAACCCTTGCCTCCCAGACTCAAACCGGAGCCTTTCACCACTACACCAAATCAGCATCAAACAGGAGAGAGATGCAACTTACAGTTGAATTGCGCAACCCTTTTTGAAAAGTATGACATAATTATCAATTAATGTATACTATCAAATCATTGCCAAGTTCATCACACAACAAATAACCATCAAAGCGTTCAATAACCATCATAGCGTTCTGAATGGTAATTGTCATTGAAACTGAAATATAATAACGTAAAATAGAGCCGCTTATTCTGGAATTTCTTTGGCCAGGCCGCCCCTGTAACCAGAGAATATTTTTCAGGGAGATATACTGAATGAAATCCATGGAGATTTTATAGATAGAAAAACCTGAAATAACATTCTCATGATCTCATCTTGTGAAGATGACATCCGTGACAGTGGCTTTTGTTTGCTTAGGTGCATCATCTAGAATTCTCTACACGCGCCGCATGCGCAGATGACTCAATCTCTAATAACGCACAGATCGTATCTGGATAAGCTTGTATTGCCAGCCAACTTTCTGCTGATGCAATAGTTCACACGGTTCGATCTTAGCTACTTGTGATAATAATAATGTTGAAGAGAAACTAAAATATTCTAATAGAAAGCTTGGATTTTGTTCCCATACTACACATAGAAATATCGTGGATAGCAGACCAGAGTACTGTGCTTTATTTAAGAAAGCTGCAGTCCACATCCTATGTGGGGTATCTGGGAACGACTGGCGTCTTTCTCTTCACCAAAGTAGCTCAAAAGCCATCAAAGATATCTATCTTACATCGTAGAATTAATATACCTAGTATATTTACCTACTCTTTGAATTTGAATATTTCATACCATCAATTTATACTGCTTCGATACAAGAATGATATTGAATAAAGGCTTTCGTAAGTGAGATCTTATTGGGAAGTAGAAAAGCTTGGATGAAAAAGATTATTGATTTTTTTATTGAATAACCTTTTAAATTAAAAAGAAAACGCAAATCATACGTATATAATTCAAACAACTTATCTCTTTTATTGCCACCATACATAAGACATTGAATGGAATATTGAAGGAGCCTGGAATTATTCATCATGAAAATGCATGGTTTATATTTTATTGATAAATTCTGTGACATACCGTACATACAATAATTTCGCAATAGCAAAATACATCGTTAAAAACTGAAAAAAGATGTGCTACTGTCAAATCATACTAAATTAAATTTTGATGTTGACGAATTTGGCATTTCCATATTGTTTCCAAATAAAATGCACTCATAAAAATCAATAAGTCTAGTTGTCCAAAAAGTTGTACGTTTTACCCGTAGCACTGATCCGCCCTCTTTCCGGGCAAAACTGTGTCAGGATGACCCACTCACGCATAATTAATCCATCGCTATCTCATTTTTGCATTACTCACCCGTGGCGCCGAGCGGATGGCCTTTAGAGATGAGGCCACCGGACGGGTTGACCACCACGCGCCCCCCGTACGTGTTGTCGCCTGCGTCTATGAAGCGACCTGCCTCGCCTTCACCGCACAAACCTGCACCATGATTAACATGATTATTCGATAAACATGAGTAAAAATTACATATTTAGATCAATTGATACTTGCTAGAAATTATAGGACACACTGTGTATTCAGCACATGACGAGATGGAAAAAATACGAGTGATTGCGAGCAATGAATTACATAACAATGAAAGTAATCACGGTGAAACAACAGGAAAGTGCGTACGAAAAACTAACACTGCATTTCTTCTAACAAATAATAAGAGACCATTGAGAAAGATATTAGCAGTATGCGCGATGGGTCCGGTGAATTTCTAGCGCCCCCCACAGACATACGCCACTTTCTTGAAATTTAGTACGCTGCAATTTAAAAGATAAAGGTTAAAGACAAATGTGTATTTCACAAATAGAACCCCATTTAGTGAACCAGTATGTTTTTCAGTTGTTTTAACTGTTTCAGCACTAGAAGCCAAGGACGTCGCGGGCAAATTTTCGGCTGGACTCGTGGCCGGTCGCATGACCAATCTCCAAATTCAATTATCAAGGAAATATCTCCCAAACATATGAACGCAGCACTATGAAACTTGGAACACGTATTCATCAGAACCTAACGGTGATGTTTAGCTCGTATATTTTTTTAAATTTCACCTTCATTCGTGAGTTGCGCGTATATTGCGAAACAGGCCGAAATTCGCATTGATCAAAGAATTTCTTCCAAACTATTGAACAGATTTGAACGAAATTTTGAATATACATTCCTAACTACCAAGCGGTGATTTTTTAACTTAAAATTTTTTTTTAGATTTTACCTTCGTTTGCGAGTTTTTTTTTTTCATTTCACCGTCATTCATGATTTCACACTTCCTTATATTCGGCCCGTATCGCCGGGTAATCAGTCGCTTAAATTCGCGGCGATCAAGAAATTTCTTCTAAACTACAGAACAGATTTCAACGAAACTTTGTATATAAATACATGACCTCGCAACGGTGATGTTTAGCTCGTGACAATTTTTCCATTTTGCTTTCGTTTGCGAGTTATACAGATATAGTAGGAACGACCATCTTTTATACCGGTCGATCGATGGCTTCTATAAATCAGAATCAGTATACGTATAGCTGTATAACTCGCAAACGAAGGCAAAGAGAAAAAATTGTAAACATCACCGTTGCTGAGGTTAGGTATTTAAATACTAAGTTTCGTTCAAATCTGTTCAGTAGTTTGGAAAAAATTTCTTGATTACTGCGAATTTAAGCACGAATTGTTGTTTAAAAACACGAATGAAGGTGAAATAAAAAAAAACTCGCGAACGAAGGCACAATCGAAAAAATTTTCACGAGCTAAACATTACCTTTTGGTAGTTAGGATTGTAAATTCAAAATTTCGTTCGAATCTGTTCAGCAGTTTGGAAGAAATTACGTGATCACTGTGAATTTCGGCCCGTATTGCCATTTAACTATGGCAAAAACAAACGATGGCAAAATTCAAAAAATTTGTCCTAGACGTAAACCCAGGAGAGCTAGGTTAAAAAAAAAACGAAAAACACCATCGCTGGGAGTCATGTGCTGCACGTGTTGTGTACAAATTGTCTAACAAACGTTCGTTCGAACTTCTGACATGGACTTCGGACTACCGCCCCCCTACCGCCCTCTTCTTCCCTATCGCCCCCCAAAACCTTTCCACCGCCCCTAGGGGGGTTATATCGCCCACTTTGGGAACCACTGATCTAGAGGATTCCTAGTTACATCTTCTTCCCAGACTTGTCTCCTTTTGCCAACTCCTCTCCTCTCTTCTTGCTACCACCTTTTCACATGCGCTTTCCTTCTGCTGGCGCAAATGGCCTACCAACTAAACAAGAACTGAATGAGAACGTGTCTTGGTCAAACTTGAATCAGATAACAACTTGCTCATGTGAAGTATATCACCAAATCACACCACCTAACCTTAATGTTTATTGCACCACAGAAATGTGATTGGAGCGCGCAATAGCCTAGCTGAGGGACATAACAGTTCTTCCGAAATGCAAAAATATAAGAGTTGATATTCAATAATTAGAAGAAAAAAAGTCAGAATCACACGTAGGATGTATAAATTGAAACGCGCGTATCGCAATCGTCGATGACACTATTAGCCACCAACCTAGGGCCTCGTAAGTGATGAGCTCATTAGCGCTGAAGCAGTCGTGCAGCTCCACCACTTGGACGTCCTGGGGACCAACACCGCTCTTGCTGTAGAGCCTTTGTGCCGCCGATTTGGTCATGTCGTATCCCACCTGTACACAATGGGACACATTCAGGGGGATCGTTACAGCTTTAATTTCCTCAAAACCATTAAAAACAAGGATTCAACGTCTCCAATTTCAAAGAAAGATTTCAATTTTCGCTATTATTCAAACAGTTTGAAAATATTTCTCATCATCTGAAAACTTGATACAGCATCATTAATAAAAATGCTAAGTAGAGACGCTTTTTGACAGACAAAAAAAATAGAAGTTTTTTTCTGAATGATCAAGGCCACCGGACAATGACTATAATAACCTAGATCAATAAGATACTTACGAGAATAACTCATGAATAACATGATATTTTTGGCACGCACCAATCACAGAATACTTCTTACACTTTACTTATAGATAACATGCTAGTATACACCTACTTTAACCAAGAATGTTTTATTCATTTTATTTTATTTTATTCGCTAATAATACTGCATTGTTGTCCTCATAAATTATAACTTTCGAATACAGTATTAATTAAATTCCTAGTGAGTTTTTACAAATTTTGTTTTTGACTGCCTCAACCTTTTTCGAATCTTAATACAAAAGTAAAATAATAAATTATAGTTTCGTAACCAAATAACAACAAAGCAAGTGAGATACTTATGATAACAAGACTTGACTCTAATTTCTGACCAGTCTCATTATGTCGCCTTCAAACGTAGAAGGAAGGTCTGTGCTCATCTCCATGCCGATGATCTCGACAGCTCGGTCCTGCAGCTTGTGTTGCTTCACAAATTCTTCTGAGGCCAGAACAGCGGCCGCGCCTCCGTCGCTGGTGGGACAACACTGAAGCTTGCTCAGCGGGTCAAACACTTTAGCAGAACCTTCTATCTCCTCCAGGCTGTACTCAGTTTGGAACTGAGAGTAACTGTGAGATAAAGTGGGGCAAATTGAGAAATATTTTGGTAGTTATGAATTTGTTGATTTAAACAACATTAATGTATTATTAAAGATGGTATTCAACAGTTTATGATACACAGAAATTTACATTTAACTCGATTTTCTGCAGAATGCTTCAGAAATATTGAGTTAAGCAATACGGTAAGCGATGAAAAGGCAAACAGCACCTCTCAAAGATAATTACGAGTGACGTGCAATGCTCACGGGTTATTAACGCTGTGCTTATGGTTCTTGAATGCAATTTTTGCCAAGTGTTGAGGCGAGGTGCCATAACGCTTCATGTGCTCCTTGGCAGCGTTTCCGAAGAGCTGGGCTGCCATGGGGGCACCCTCTAGACCACATGACTCGGCCATCCGCATGACGTGGCGCTCCAAGGGGTTGACGCGATCTTCAAACTTGTCACAAAAGATACGGTGCACATTAATCATTAACAGAATTATTATTCTACCGGCCGGATGAACAAACTAATATCAAGGCATTAAAACAACGACCCCCAGTTTGGAAAAATTCATAAAAACGAGAAAATTAAGAAGTACAAACTCTCATCATAAATATTTTTTCTTGATGACCTAATTTTTCACACACTAAGTGTGGTTTGCTAACGAACCTAGACTTTCAAACTCATTTGCCATTATTCTCTTGCACCCCTTCCTCAACTTTTTATTACATGTACCAATAAAGATAACTCACAACACTCGAGAGGGAACCACGCTGCATTTTCTCAAAGCCAAGCGCCAGGACACACTGAGCCATGCCTCCCTGGATGAGATTTCTGGCCAAGTAGAGAGCAGTGGAGCCAGTGGCGCAGTTGTTGTTGACATTGTAGACAGGCACTCCTGTGAGTCCAATCTCGTACAGAGCTCTTTGTCCAGATGTTGAGTCGCCTAGTGAACAAAATTTCAAAATAATATTTCAAAGAAATAAATTTCAGTTTATTCTTGGAGACATGATATTTCTGACTTGTCCATCTAGAAGAAAATTGGGAGTTGATTTATACAGTTTAGTGATAAACACTTACAAATAAGAGTACCATATATTGAAAAATCTGAAACATCAAATTTATTAACAGTAGGTAAACCCTGTGAATGTATATAATCGTATAACATCACGTCAAATGAAAGAAATATATGAACAGCTAAATTCGAGGATGAATGCGGTCAATATTTTTAGGTTGCTGTCCGATACCAAAATATTAAAGCACCACAATGAAGATTTTATTTTTTTACTAGCTAAATTAAACTTGAATTGAAACGTGCAAAATACAGGTCTATACTCTAGCTTCACTCACCATAAATTGCTGGCTCCTGCCTCTCATAGTCTTTATGTAATTTCAAAAAAAGTGATGGTCTTTGTTACCCCAGCTCTTGGGGTAACTTAGACCGGGTGGTAAAATCAATCTAATGGCAGCCCTGATGAGGTAATATTGACTGGCTTGGAAATTAAGTTAAAATTACAATATATAAGACTCTGTAGAGTCTGAAACATAAAGAAAAAACATAAATAGGCTGTCAAACATAATATATGTTATATATGGTAATTTTATATTAACTTCCAAGCTGGTCTATGTTACCCCGTCAGGGCTGACATTAGGTGGTCTAAGTTACCCCATTTGGGGGCGGCGCCCCCCATTTGCAAACTATGACACTTTCCTAAAATTTGTCATTTGCATATGTAACTAGAAGAGTTCTACTACAATGCATCAAAACCTGGAGTTATTTAACCAAAAAATAAAAAAATTGGAGGGGGTACTCTGACAGGCTTTGAATAATAGTTTTTTTTCGTGGGTCACATTTTTAATTTTTTAACCTATTAGATATGCAAACTTTTTAAATCTTTCAATTGTGTTATGTAGCGTTAGTATTAGGCCTTTAATGCCCATTAACAAAATTTTTCTAAGTCAAATAGTTTTTGAGTTGTGTGGGTTTTTGTTAAAAAAACGAAAAGTGGTCTAAGTTACCCCGCCGGTCTAAGTTACCCCATTTTACGGTACCATATATTTGTAACATTTGCAACCATAGGTACACAATGAATGAAAGTAAAAGAGAGGCCCTAGCCTTTAGAATCAGCTATACATTTTCACAAGGCTTAGCACACAGCTGAATGTTTGGAACATACCATAGACATATCCCACAGCAGCCTGTTCCACAGCTGTGTAGGGTAGTCTGCAGTCAGCCAGAGCTTTGGTGACAGCTTCTCTAGCCATGTCAGGATAGTCGAAGTTCTCTCGACGTCCAGGTTTCTCAAACTGAAAAATGTAAATGTGTTAGCTTGCAAGGTCCAACTACACTATAACAAGTAAGATGTTAATCATTGATGAAACAATGCAAAAAGGAAATTATCCCAGTCCATAAACTATAGATAGATTCGATTTTATTGTAATGGAATTGGGTGTTTGTTGTTCACATTTATATTCACAAAACACAATTTGTTCATCTATGGCAGATTCCCTCTTCCCATATCACAAAATTAGAATGAGTCAGCCTTGATCCCAGTTTCAAATGAGCACACAATAAAGGATACTGTAGTTCAATTCTGGTAATAATTAATAAATAGATAATTAAATATAACAGTAAACTGAACACTTTTTCCGAGGCAGATAAAATATCCTATCATAATTATTACAAAAAACTCACTTTTGTCATCCCAACTCCAACAACAAAAACACGCCTGAGGCTGCTCACAACCTTGGCATTAGCGTGCTGAGCTATGGCAGATGCCATGATTGGTTATTTTTAATGCTTATTGGCAAATAACCTGAAATATAAAGCACTATTATACAAGAGACAAGTGAGAACAAAGAAGTATTTGTGGAATAATCAGGTAGGAATTTGGAATTGCAAATAATAAATTAACAAGTACAAATACAGGTATAAAACTGAATAAAATGACCTGAACCTGGAACTTTCTATTATAACTTTGCTGATTGTTTGTTTTGATGAAGTCATGCAGCTTTTGTTACTTCAAAAATTCTTCTGAGGCTAGAACAGCAGCTGCGCCTCCATCACGGCAGCTGATCAATATTGAAAATAGAAAAAAAACTTGTGAAAGGCTATATTTTTACCCTGTTGAGGTTTGAAATTGAGAGCAGATCAAGATATCTTATTTCCATCTTACAGCACTGAATTTGTATGAGTTTGGGAAAACATTTTAATCACAAATGATTCAAAATTATATTAGCAATAATTAACAATGGTGATATTTGCTATCAGTGTCATGCAATGTACGTAGTACCTATATAAGTATTAAAATTACTTATGTATATAGAAATTACTTATGCAAGTATTAAAATTACTTGTTTCCTCTAATTGCTGATGTGCAGTGTGCATCATCATATGTCAGTAGATCCATGCAATTTCTATACTAGGCTTGCAGAGCATAGAGGCAGAAGTTATAGAATGGGGAACCTACTTGCACATCCCCATCATTCTGCTTTACGAGTTCATGCCAAGCAGTGCAACACCTCTGCATCTGATAGTGATGTTAAATTAATTGAAGCCAGAGTATGGACAGAGAAATGTCCTTTATAATTTATAATTTTATATCAATGATTACTATAATAGGTACTATGCTGCAATATTATTAGAGTTATAGGTACCATGGATTAGATGGTGAAAAAAATAAAGATCCATCTAGAGATTTTCAGGCATCTTTGAAGCCTCCAGTTTTCTACTAGCCTACTAGGTATATGAATTAACTCTAAAAACTAATATAGCTCACAAGTAGCATAAGCTTTATCTAGGTGTGTGCACAAAAAAATATTTTTCCAGTGATTGTTATGAAACTTATAATATAAATATAATATAGAGGTTTCAGCATTTATTAGGCCAGAGACCTGTTGCCAATTCTTAACAATTAACATCACTGAACATTTACAGCTTGTATCAAGTTGTATGTAGTCTTGAACTTGTCATTCACTGCTCCAAATTCTGCCATGCTTAACCACTTGGCCTCCTTGCCAATTTTGACCAGAACTGTCCAGAAACTGGCACACAGAGCTGATATTGAACCGGCGCTTCTGTGCGCCAGCAGCCAATCTTGGTACTCTGAACTATAACCACTGGGCCAGTGCCAGTGTGCCACCCTGCCCAGCGGCCTGCCCATATGGCCAAAAAGAGAAAGATCTAGAAAAATACCATGTATGTATAAGTGAAAAACAAATAAAAATTAAAAAGCTCCACGTTTTTTTTTATTAAATTATGTCCCAAAAATGGAAATTTTTGGCAATTTTTTGGAAAAAACTATCATTTCTAGGTTTTCTATGTCAGTTTAAAAGATTTTTGTACCATTGGTAAGCTTGGTAACATTGGTTGTATATATTATAGCCTATCATATAGCCTAGGTATATACCAGCTAAAATAAAACATTTTGTTCAAGACTTTGTCATTGACTGCAGATCAGCAGATGGGCAGGGTAAATGGGTATTAAATGCAGTATTGATGAAACTATGAAAGATAGGGCATTGAATGGCCTGCAGTAGCAGTACTGATAAAACTGATAGACAGATACCATAAAATGGGGTAACTTAGACCGGCGGGGTAACTTAGACCACTTTTCGTTTTTTTAACAAAAACCCCCACAACTCAAAAACTATTTGACATAGAAAAATTTTGTCAATGGGCATTAAAGGCCTAATACTGAGGCTACATAACACAATAGAAAGATTTGAAAAGTTTGCATATCTAATAGGTTAAAAAATTAAAAATGTGACCCACAAAAAAAAACTATTATTTAAAGCCTGTCAGAGTACCCCCTCCAATTTTTTTATTTTTTGGTTAAATAACTCCAGGTTTTGATGCATTGTAGTAGAACTCTTCTAGTTACATATGCAAATGACAAATTTTAGGAAAGTGTCATAGTTTGCAAATGGGGGGCGCCGCCCCCAAATGGGGTAACTTAGACCACCTAATGTCAGCCCTAACGGGGTAACATAGACCGGCTTGGAAGTTAATATAAAATTACCATATATAACATATTTTATGTTTGACAGCCTATTTATGTTTTTTCTTTATGTTTCAGACTCTACAGAGTCTTATATATGGTAATTTTAACTTAATTTCCAAGCCAGTCAATATTACCCCATCAGGGCTGCCATTAGGTAGTCACATTTCCCTCATTATGGGGCAGTGCCCCCCATTTGCAAACTATGACACTTTCCTCAAGTTTGTCATTTGCATATGTAACTAGAAAAGTTCTACTACAATGCACCAAAACCTGGAGTTATTTTACCAAAAAATATAATTGATTTTACCACCCGGTCTAAGTTACCCCAAGAGCTGGGGTAACAAAGACCATCACTTTTTTTGAAATTACATAAAGACTATGAGAGGCAGGAGCCAGCAATTTATGGTGAGTGAAGCTAGAGTATAGACCTGTATTTTGCATGTTTCAATTCAAGTTTAATTTAGCTAGTAAAAAAAATGGCATCATTTATAAAAAAAAGTGGTCTAAGTTACCCCATTTTACGGTAGCCTAGAATAGATATGAATGGTGTAATTTATAAATTCAGCAGAAGGCAGAATTAAACAAAATAATTTCCAGTATAAATTGGTAGATATTGGCGCATTTGGCAAATTGGCGCCATTTGGTTTGGCCTTAGGCTACTTAATGGCGCATTTGGAAATTGGCGCCATCAAGGAGGCAGCAGGAGGCTAAGCTTAAAAATGTGAGATTTACAATTTTGCATATCTATTGCAAGGAAGTATTAAAAATAGATGAATGAGAGCCTGAGAGGGAGGAGTCAAGGAGGGGACTTCAATAGACTGAATAGAGAATTAGGTACCGGTAGGCTGTAGCCAATATATAAAAAACAATAATAAATCTCCACACGATAAAACTTCAACACTAAGTCACTAACTGTAACAAGAAATAACATTAACTATGGCTGAATGACAGAATGAGACAATGAGTGACAATGCCTAGGTGCCTACAGCCAGCCGTGAGCCAGGTACAGGCTAGTGCTACAGGCCTACAGCCTAAAGTCTAAACTCTACATTACCTACTTACTACTACTTAATTCTATCATTTCTATGATTAAGACTACTACATGGATGCTCCTGACTCTGATCTCACTCTCAGCGACATTGAATAAGACTCAGTCAAAGTTATAGTAGTTGAGACTTGAGTTGTGTCAGACTGTCAGTGTCAGTCTCAGAGTCAGTGTCTGCACTGGCTGACTGGCCGCGAGTTTTGTTGTTGTCGGCTTGAAGGTGAGGATTGAGGAAGAGCCTAAAGCCCCTTTCAGGCTTTCACACACGACGCGAAATACCACATGGCACATGCGTCAAAAACACGCAGCGGTATTTTACGTCGAACCTCAGCAGACGTACGCAATCTTCACTGCTTTTCACGGGTCGCCAGAGTCCAGACCGTCGCCTGCCGAAGACCAGCACTGCCCTGGATGTAATGGATCATCAGGATTCCTGCCTTCCGGAATCATGCCTTCAACACTTCAAGCCGTCCGTATCTAGGCTGTGGGTCGAACCAGCCCTCGGTCGAACGGCCACTTGTCGAAGGACGATGAATTTTGGAACAAACTATGCTATCTGAAACCTAACCTCAGATGCGGTGAACGTAAAATTACGTAATTTAACGATGCCCGGAAGTCATATTCGATCCGCGGCCTGGTGGTGCACGGCAGGTGGTGGTCTAGGCCGGAAGAGGACAAAGCCGAGTGGTTCACGGCTGATTGGTGTAGGTCCGGAGAGATCCAAGGCGTTCGATTCAGGGCTTATTGGTGCGCAAAATTGGTGGTGCACGGCTGCGTTCCCCTTATTGGCTAGGGTTTTCCGGCCATCGGACGGACTCCAAACATGGGAAAATCCTAACCGATCAACGAAAACCACGCAGGTTAGGTTAGTTAGGAACAGGTTCCATTAAAAATTTCCGATGCCGACCGCCAAAAACGGATTTCAGATTCTTAATCTACACCCCCAAAAACATATAATTAAAAAATAAAATTACCCTTTTTTTTGGATGCACTGAATCTAAAGTAATACCTGCAAGATTGTTACATAAACATATAGATAGACTGATGGGTGATGGTGCATAATACGGAATGCAAGACTGATAGATTCAAGCGTAAAAAAAACCTGCCTCTTGTGAATGATAAAGCGGCAAATACCGCTGCTTGTTTTTTGACGCATGCGGCATTTCACGTCTTGTGTGAAAGGGGTTTATGAGTAAGAGCATGGTTGAAGCAGCATAAGGTTGACCCTGCGGATGGTGTGTGTGGTTCGCAACTGTGACGTCACTGATCTCAGTGACGTCACGGGCATTAATCAATCACCGAAATGCGATTAAACCAGTCAACCAATCCGTCAAGGGAATGAAGGGATTGTTTAGGTTTCTCGATCTCAGTGACGTAACAAGAAAGCTGAACTGAAAGATGGAAATCCTCTTGGGTTAACCTTATATAGTTCAACTAAGAGTAGGAGGGCTAGGATTGGGGCTGGGTCTCCGCCCCATGGTTGAATTAATACAAGGTTGACCCACGCGCAGCTGCTCTTTGCGGATGTCGTTTGTTGTTCCGACTGTGACGTCACCGTGGGCCCAAAATGTAAATACTGTCGCGAAAGACGTTGTTTTTGTGCCGATTTTGAGATCAATTTAAAAAAAATTGCCCTCCTCAAAATCGTTATAAAAATGCCAGTAGCTTCAGCTAGTCTGTCTCTAAGTATATGGGGCTTATTGAGCAATTTGATCGTGTAAAACAAATAAATTCGAAACAAACAAACAGGGCCGACTTGCTGAGAGGCCGTAATCGGTAGAGAGGTAGTACCTCATTAGCCAAAATTGTTTTGCTTAGTTACTTACCAATTGTAGAATCATTTAGCAATGTGACCAGGCTGCCGGCTGGCAGTGGCATATGTTGATCTGGAATAGGATCTTCTTTCAAATTGCAGTTCTTGATTCTTGCCCTCGCCCCCCATTGATGCCACCTTCTTAGTTCTTGCCACCATTGATGCCCCAAAGTTCAAATACACACACTGCAGGCTGCAGATAGTGAGATAGAAACTGCCAACCTACTACATGTGGAAAGTATATACTTCTCACATTACAAATAGAGCTTCCATGTCCATCTGCGATCTGCCCAATATGGATTATGGAAAAATTATATTTCTGCCAGATGAATTAATTACCTCCCATCTTATTGTTTGTAAATAATGTATATCCTTTTCATGTGATTTATGGCTATTGAATGCAGAAGTTTTATCAAAATTAAAAATACTATTTACTTTACAGAGTAGCTAATTAAAATATAAATTATTGGCCACTGCCAGTCTGCCACCCTTCTCGTTCTCCACAGTCTACATAACTACACAGTACAGCTGCTAGGACGCTAGGCTACTAGGGTACTTCAGTACTTGCACTCACTGACTCAGCCTGCCACTGTCACCTCCCAGTCCCACTAATAAATTCAGCACATGGGAAATATTTATTGCATTTACGATCTCATTATTCTATGATCAATCAATCAAAAACTTGATTTTTTTCACATAAATCTTTCGTCAGTATTCCATTACCCTCCTAGAAATATTACAGCACCAAAAATGTTTCATAGCCTACCGCTGCACCGCATGGCGCTTAAGACAGATACGGTAGGCAACAATATTGAGAGTCGGAGATACAATTTTCAGAACAACATGACAAGTAAGAAATGAACCAAATTACAACATTAAAACAATTTATAGCAAAGCATATTCTTCGTTAGCTTACGACAATAAAATTTCGTTAGAATTGTGCTTCCTTTCATCGACCGTTAGCTGAGTGGCCGCCATTACTCCTTTCTCAGTTTCTGCCCTTGTCTGTCGGCCCATCATGTTTCCCATTAATTTAATTTACACTCCACGAAACGGATTTGTAACACCGGCTTTGCTTAAAGTAACACTTGTTGCAGCAAATGCAGTTTTTTGTGCCATTTTGAGGAGGTCAATTTTTTTTAATATCATTTCAAATATGGCACAAAAACAACGTGTTGATCTCCACTGTTTACATTTTTGGCCCACGTTGACGTCACACGAGACATGCGCAGAACGGCGAAAAAATCGTCGTCGCCGTGTGTCAACCTTGTATTAATTCAACCATGCTCCGCCCTATCTCTCTTGAATATGTTAATTTATTAATAATGTTCAACATGTTAATATATGCTATTAATATTATTATTAATTATTAATCCTAAAAAATTATAATGATAATTAAATTAATAAATAATAGTAATATTATTAATTGATAAATTTGAAATTATTAACATTAACAAACATTTAATATTTAATCCATTAGTTATTAAAATTACAACCACTTGATAGTAATTTACCTGAAACGTTGTAAACAGGTAAAATGTTGATCAGAGAATATCTGAAACAATTAATTATTCTAATTACACATTAAGGATTACCTATTATGTCTCGTTATTATATCTCGTTATTATACAAGATGGAAATTCCGGGAAATTTTAACCTCTATAGACTAGTTCAATGCGGCCCCACGACAGGGTTGGGGGTTATAGTTGTCACCGTTTTTCTGAGTTGGCACTTTATAGATTTCACTTATCTTCTCAACTGGGATAGCCTCTGCGAGCGCAGCCGTGGGTAACAAAATTGACTCGTAAACAGGCCCTGGGCCCAACGCCAACCATCAGAATGCAATATCTACACATAGCCTCAGATCAATGAGCTGTGGGTAACTACGGCTAACAGTAAATCCGCTTTGCACAACACAGCCACTGCTTCACAGCGCCGGAGCGCAACAGGCTCTACCGCTACAGGCGCAGGTTAGGTTAGGTTACGTTACGTTAGGAGTAGCCTGTTGCGGTATGGACTGCTGCGCTCCGGCCAGTTGGGATCCGACCTGTATGCGCTCCGGCCTGTGACTGAACGGCGCTGTTGTGGTGGGCGCTTTGTGTCCAAAGCCGTGAAGATGCCCGGCTGCGTTACGCTCGGGAAGGTATATGAATCGCACCGTGGACTTGGGCTATGCTGACCTCTAGCTATTCATCCATAGCCCATCACCTAAACAGATCTTAGTTGGTGCCTAGCAGTTACATACATGAGAATCTGAAATGCTCGGTCGTCTCGTCTAATCCGTCTCGAATGGGAAAAAGCATGGTTGACCTAATAGTTTTAGTTTCAACCATGGGAAAAAACACAAAACACAGAGGTACAAGGGGTTAACATGGTCACTCTGACATGATTAATTGGTTGACATGGTAAATCTGACATGGTCAACACTTTGGCGTGGTGCTTCGCTCATGTTTAAAATATAAGGGAATTTTTTATTTATTTTAAAATATCAATGTAAAAATTGCAAGGTTCAATATTGTGCAATAAGTACTGCGTAGAAAATTTTGCACGTTTTTCTGATCTAGCTAATGAGTCAGAAAGAAGGATATGATTCATCTAATTTTATAGATTAGAGGAAACCTCACGCACCGACCAAATAGGAAGCTAAATCGCGTTAATAGCTCCTGAACAGGTCCGATTGACTGATCAATAATAATATTAAACGGTACCTTATACTAGTAAAGATGATCTTATCACTCGATTAGATATGATCTATCTCTCCCATGCGAGCACAACACCTGATATTGCTGCATAAAAATTTAGGATGACCTCGCATCTAAGATTCATTGCCTTTAGCCCAGAGTTAGCAAAACTTCGATCAAATGGGATTTTAAATCAAGTTAATTCAACATAAGTTAACACTGAAATGGTGTATTGGTTGTCGAATCATGAAACTTGAAAGAGAACTCTCTTAAACCATGTGAATGTTCAGATTCAGGGCAAATGAAGAAAATAGATCAACAGCTAGCGAACGTCTCCAGTAAAATAACTCTAAAAATTAGGATTACTTCAGTTTCAGTATAATTCAACCAAATCCTTAATCTTTAATTTGATACGGAGAATAATTTTTCCCTTTTGACCTTATTTCAACGCTTGAGCTTCTCCAACAGGATTTGCCATACTCTTCTAAATCGCTCATGGCCGGTAAAATTTTCTGGTAACCCCTGAAAGGATTTGGCGTACCGCCAATGGGAAGCGCGCGACAAACTAAGTGCAGGCAGACATTCGAGTAGAATCAAGAAGGTCGTTGTGTGAGTACTACACTTCGTTACAGTGTCGTTTGATGACAAATTGTTACAGTGAGCGAAAAAATTAGGACGCGTCCTGAACGTCGCCTCATGCATTATCTCAAGATAATAGAAACGATTAAAAAGCGGGATATACAGAACAGGTCGAACATTAACCGAGAAATGACCAACTCCGAGTCTTGCAGCTTTTTCATGTGCCCCTTTAAAGTGACGAGGTAACTCGGGCACTCGGATAAAGGCTGCAGGTTCGCAATAGGTTCCGATAATTGCAAATCGTTTTCATAACCGCTTTACAGTCACGCCGTCATCATCCTCAAAACGAAATGAATTAAGACAAAATGAACATTGATTTTGTAAGGATCAAAACACAGATTCTCAACTTCTCATGTATTTGAACTTTAAGTTCCGGTTCCTCGATTTGATACTTGCGCTTGAAGGCGTTCTCTACAAAAAGAAAAGCACTGGAGTGAAACTTCCATTCCATATGGATAGTTAAGAAGTATGACAAGGTAATTTATACAAACAATCCACACAATTAAATTTTCAAGTTCGCGGTAAGATGAACATCTGTACGTCGACATCGAGGTATCGGCAACATCCGATTGTGTTCAGCAATCTTGACTTACAATTGTTTCGGTAGTGTCATGGTGACTGTGATACATTGCACACAATTGTATTTGTTGGTCTTGCTATTTCAATCTAGAATTTCTTTGCAACAATTGTAGGAGTAAGCCTATCATCCCTAAACGAATGAGTCCTCAGGCCTTGACGACCGCCTTGCCAATGTTGTCACCCGTGAACAGCCCGATGAACGCCTTGGGCTGGTTCTCAAACCCTAGAGTTACAGTTTCTTTATACTTCAGCTTGCCCTGAAACAGAAGAAATATCTGCTTCATAAAATACAAAAAAATAAGTTTGGAAGGAAGAGCGTTCGATAATTCTTTCCATTATATTTTTTCGAAAAACTACCCTAAGCAAATAAGCAAGTAGTCGTTCGTCATCATCGCCTATACAGTGAAACTTGCACAATGCACACCAACGTGATTCTAATTCATTTAACTGTCAGCAGCTGACAGGATTTTACCGAATCAATATGAGAGGAACCTGGCAAAAACCGTGTGCATTAACTGTTGATAAGGATTATTTTATAACAATTTTCATCAAATACGTTGCGAAGCGGCTTCTTTTACCAGTTAATTCCAATTGATGAAACATAAAGACTGAATTTAAATAATTTCTTAGTGTACTGTCAACGCACACGTACGAAAAGAAGAAGTTACAAAGAAGTACAGTAAATTTCGAATGAAGTAGGTCAGGATTAGTAAAATTTTGTTGACCAACTCATGACGAATGACTGGTGTAGAGCAAAGTGTCTGTAATGTTTTATTATAATTAGGAATATCATTATACCGACTTTATAATGTTGTACTATTTTTATGTGCGGGAAATATTGTCTCATAAATTATAAAAACATTCCAGTCTAATCTATTCCGAATACTTTCGCTCGTCAATTCTAAAAAAAATTCGCGACACACGGTTGACCAAACCTGACGTTCAGTCGTTTAATTAATTTTATCATTATTTAATGAGTGTCTTTGAACAACTGACCTGATCAATCCAGTCTCTCATCTGCTTGATGCCTTCGCGCCAGCGCGGTAGCCATCGTGACACGATGAAGCCCTCTACGAGTAGCTGCTTCCCGATGATCGTGCCTTCAGACAGCGGACCTGCGACATAATACGATTTTCATATCGATTTTAAATACGTTAAAGTGCAGGCATAGGTTTGATATTCACAATATTGATACGCGTTTGTAACACTGATTGCTCTGAGACTATTAATTGTACAATGTAAGCCGAAACTTCTTACAAGTTTAAACATAAATTGTCTAAATGCGATGAAGTTGTTTATGTTTGGTGATGCACAAAGATATTCAGTTGAAACTCTACCACGACTCTAATTGGTACCATGAATCAGTTTAGCTACACCATCAAGTGATTGATAACCCTTAAACAGTAAGTAGGAATTACTATTGTCAGTAGTCAATCGTCATCACAAGACGATTATGCGAAGCATTGTTACTAGCGCGAGCCAGAATCTATGTGTACAGAGACACTTCTCTTTCGACACGTCTTGCAGAATCTCATATCAGTCGAAGTAAATTCATTATAAATCTCTTCTTCATGCTATTAACTGGATGTACCCTACAGGCTTTTACGGCAACTCCTAGATACAGAGAATCAAGCTGGATGTTTTTATTACTTGAGTCGTAAGATAGGAACTGACATTAGCCCAAAAGCAGGGTTGTTGATTGTTTTGATTTTTTTTAAAAAATCAAAAATCAATAATTGTTTTGATTTTTTCATGATTTTTTTACCGCCTATCTCATACAATGAAAGTTCAGCTTTTTTATTGCAATAGGTAATTTTATTAAAAAAAACGCCTAGTTTTTTTCAGTTTACTCCTGGGAGGACAAATTTGTCATAGCACTATAGGACGAGTGAGGTCAACAGAATCTTCAAATTTGGTAGATGTGCTGAATCAAGAAACACTGAATAAACAACGAATTTTGTGTTGTCCCTCTGCACTGGTGTTAAAGTTTTCGGTGTAGCCGCAGAATTATAAGATTAAGCGTTGGTATTTTGTGTACAATATTGCTTTGATCGAAATTAACCTCCTCTTACATCGGAAGTGTATTGTCCTTATTTGTTAGATACCCACGTTAGACTGATGTGTATCAATTTAAAACTCGTGCATTTTCCTTGGCGGTTGAAGCTTGAAGGGCTCGCAAAATTTCAAAAGTCTTACTTAAAATTGTCAGTCAGATGAAATCTGATGTGCAAATCATCTTCTTCAAAGCAACTCATCAATTTCGTCGGGAAATAGAATAGAATAGAAGTGTCGGCGTTGAAGAAATAGGCCCATGGCCTGTTGCCGATTCTTGAACTTTTCGAGACTTGATTCACAAGGGATCCGGCCATTGGAACCCGATCTTACTTATTGCCTGATCCGTAATTTGCTAGGCATTTTAAGACTGAACATATGCTCCTGCATAGCTTCGTCTAGTCTGTTTTTAAAACGTTTTTCTTAGCTTAGCTTCGCGTTTGTTTGTTTGTTGTTAAAATTGACAACGAAAATTAGCCCA